GGTCATGATTGTTCTGTAGTATACAGAGATGGAGATCATCAGAGTCTGGGATGTGGATGCGGCCTTCAAAGCAAAGGATGTTGGATTCGTCAATAGACCATTGAGAGGAAGAGGATTCAGAAGCAGCCTTGGCCTGGCGGAGGCCATTGGAGGATATAGCATCAGAGAATTGTGCTTGTCTGATATTGGTGTGGAGTTTGTTGATATCTATGATGGCACTAGCCCATAGGGTGGAGCCTTCAAGATAGGTTGCTCAGAGTGATGCAGAGAGTTGTTCTTGGGTGAACATGGGTTGGAAATTGTGGGGGTTGATTTAGGCATATTGGCTATCCCCCTCTTTAGGGTAGACATCCCATCATCTAGTGAGTGCATTCGGTTTCCCACCAAGTTTTCCAGGGCAGAACTGGATTACTAGGTTGAACTGGGATAGGTATTCGGACCAGCGGACCTGTTGGCAGGTTAGAATCTTAGTGGTGGCAAAGTATTCAAGGTTCCTGTGGTCTGTTATGATATTGATGGAGTCCGCAGAGCCTTCAAGGTAGTGCCACCAATGTTTAAAGGCTTCAAAAATGGCTAGAAGCTCTTTGTCATGAGTGTCATAGTTGAGTTCAGCATTGTGGAGGCTCTGGGAGCAGAAAATGATGGGGTGAATTTCACCATCTTCAAGATAGATGGAGAGGATAGCTGCAATTGCATAGTTGGAGGTGTCAGTTTCCACCATTATCTTTCGATCAGGGACCCAGTGGGTAAGAATGAGAGTGTGTGTAAAGGCCTGTTTCAACTCATTGAAGGCAGCCAAGCATTTGTTGTCAAATTTCCATGAAGTTCCCTTGTGAGTGAGTCATGTAAGAGGGAGGATGATATCGCTATATTCGTGTATGAAGCGATGGTAGAAGTTGGCAAAGCCAAGAAAAGATTAGATGTTCTTGACTTTTCGTGGCACCAGCCAGTCAACAATGGCCTTGACTTTTTCTTCAGACATGCAAAGTCCTTCAGATGATAGGATATAGCCTAGATATTCTATGGAATTCCGGTTGAATTCACATTTGGAATCTTTGCAATAGAGTCTATTAGCTCTAAGCTTGTGTAGGACCTCACGAACATGTTTCTGGTGATCTTCTGGGTTGTCAGAATATATGAGGATGTTGCCGAGGTAGACTACTACTGATATGTTGAGCATGTTAGAGAATATATCGTTCACAAATCGTTGGAATGCCACTGGAGCATTTGTGAGGCCAAAAGGCATGACATGCCATTCGAAGAAACCATAACAGGTCTGGAAGGCTGTTTTCCATTCATCCCTCTTAGCTATGCGAACAAGATGGTAGGCATGCCAAAGGTCGAGCTTGGTGTAGATGCATGCAGAGCAGGCAGAGTTGAGGAGATCAGAAATGAGGGAAAGAGGGTAGCGATCCTTCTTAGAGATTTTGTTTAGGCCACAGTAGTCGACACAAAGTCGGAGTTCACCGGTCTTTTTCTTGACAAATAGAACTGGAGCCCCATGTGGAGAGCAGGATGGTGTAATGAACCCATTGCACAGATTATCATCAATAAACTCTTATAGTGCTTTGAGTTCAGATTCTGAGAGAGAATAAATGGGGCCAAGCAGTGGAGATGTTCCTTTCTCAAGGTTGATTTTAAGGTCATATGGCCTGTGTTTGGGTAGCTTTTTGGAGAGAGTATCACTGAAGATGTCTGCAAAATCATGGTACTCTACTGGCACTGATGAAAGATCTGCTGGTTCCACAGATGTGGCTTTGGCTCTAATATTAGGCAAGAAAGGCTGCAGTGTGAACTGCTGAGCACCTTCTTCTGCACTAGCTTGGATAAATGCGGCAGCAGATATGATGGAGATCTTTGGATGTGCTTTCATAGTAAAAGACTCTGAGGGAGGATAGGAGTAGATAGGTTCATACAGGAATGGAGTCTGCCGGTTACCCAGAGTCGATTTGGAATGGGGTGAAGCCCTGGAAGTTGGACTGATGGAGTTCAGTGGGCATGGAAGTCTCAGATTTGAGCTGAAAGGCTTGAAGAGGGATGGACTGTTGTCCTGTAGGCACGAAAGTCCCGGATTTGAGCTGAAAGGCTCAGAGGGGGGTGGACTGTTGTCCTGTAAGCATAGAAGTCTCTGGGATGCAGTGGAGGCCATGGAATTGGTTGGAGTGAGATCCTGGTAGCTTGAGCAGAAAATAATACTGTTCTCAACCCAGTCAATCAATGGATTGTAGCAGGAGAGCCAGTTGTATCCTAGAACAAGATTGCAAGACGAATCCAGAGGAGTGACATAGAAGTCAGTGGCGAAGGTGTCTCCAGATGGGAAACAGATAGGGATGGTTGCGATTTGAGATATACAGCTCCTGATGGAGCCATCAAATAATCGAAGTTGCACACTAGGGATGGTTTTAATGGGAATTTCATTGGCAGCTACATACTTAGTGTCAACAAAGCAGTGGCTAGAGCCAAAATCAATAAGGGCAAGAAAACGTAGGATGATACAAGTTGGGGAACCATCGGGTTCTGTAGTAGTCAGCAATTCTGCTGAGAGGGGGATGTGGAAGGAGTGATTGGAAAGGGATGTTGCATTGAGAGTGATGATCTCTGGTGTGCAAATACAGTCGATGCAACTCTGAACTCACACGGAGGGAACAGAGTTGTTTCCTAGTTTTCTGACTCTATCAGGGCCAGTTCCATAGGAGCCATGTCAACTTCTGCTGCATAACTCTTGGCAGAGGCTGCTGCCTTCTGCTTGTTGCAGTCCTCGGTCTTGTGTTTGGCTCCACAGAACATGCAAAGGTTGTTCTGGCACCGGTGGTCTTTTTTTTCTGAGTAAGATGGCCATCTTTGCCTAGCTTGTCGGCATAGGGCTTAGGGGCAGTAGATTTCGGTGTGGAGCTGGAGTCCGAGAAAGAAGTGTTAGACCCCTTGGATTTGGGGTTGGGAAATTTATTGTCCCAGTTTTCATGGGCAATTTCGGTCTTCTGGGTCCAGTAGTGAGCATCAAGTTTTTGGGCAAGGAAGCACATATCACAAAGGTTGTTTGGCTTCTCATGGTGTGCCATGTCATCCTTGATATGGGTGCAGAGGCCATGGTAAAAGGCATGGCAGAGGGAGTTATCTCCATACCCAATTTGCAAAGCATACTGGTTGAATTGAACCATATACTTCATGATCCGATCACCATCACGCATCTGAAGGTGTTCTAATGCATCTTCAGCATCTCCGATAGCATCAAAAGGGCTGAAGTTGCTACGAAGCTCATCTAAGAAGGCTGCATAGGAGAATTGCCAGGCTGGTGGATTCCATGGATTGGGGTTAAGAATGTCTGGTTTGAACCAGTTGAGCGCAGTGTCAGCCAGGAATGAAATAGTGTAGTTAACTTTGTTAGCATCTATTGCAAATGCGGTAGGTCTGTTGTTGAAGTTCAATTGAAGGGAGACAATGAAAGCCTTCAGTTTGTGAGGGTCAGAGCCATCAAATGGTTCTGGTTCCTTGACCTTGGTATGGACAGTGGCGGTTTAGGGTTGTTGAGGGAGGCGGAGACTCCTCGTAACAGGTTCATGAATTCTAAGAACATATCCTGCTGGTTTGGATTGTTACTTCCTGTAGAGCTGTCGGTGCTGCCTGGGCCATTGGGACCACCTGGACCTCCTGGACCTCCTGGACCTTCTGGTCCACCTGGGAAAGGGTTTGGTGGATTGCCAGCTGGTTCCCGTTGGATGGGAGTATGAGTAGGGGTGTCTTCATCTCTGCCCTCTGAGTCTGAGCTGTCTGGATTCCCATAGTTGTTGCCCAGGGATAAGGGGTCTGATGGGGGGTTGGTTCAGGCATCATACATCAGGCTGGCCCATCGGGCCCCATTGGTTGGAATGCTGGTGATGTCAAAAGGGTTAGGGGAATTGTCATAATTAGGTTGGCAGGCAGTGAAGCTAGAGTGATTGTAGGTTTCTCTATGGAAAGATTGTCCTTCACTGGAGGCCAATCTGAAAAGGCCTGGTTGTTTCTTTGAGGTGGAGGCCAGAATGTCTTCCATAGAAAACATGTTTGAATGAGTGAGCTGAGTTTGTTTGAGATCAGTTTCTGTGGGTTCAGTAAATGTAGTGGATATAATAAAATTTTTGACTCAAGGGTTTGAGTTTGAATATACTGTTAAGAATGTGCCAATCGAGTGGGCTTGAGTGCATGCGTGGAGTCCAGCAGAGTGCATGGGCATTGACGAAGCTATTGGCAACATCACCCTTGAGTCGGAGTCCAAGGATCTGGATAGACAGACCAGAGTTCCATTAGAGAAGTGAATAGGAATATCCTTTGGAGTGGAATCCGATGGATGAGGTAGGGAGGAGTGGAAGTGAGTGCAAAGTGTAGATGGCTTATCCAAGTTGATATTCAAACTGAGTAGTTACAATGATGTACATGGCTTTATATACTAATAGTAGCTAATTCTGAGTTGGGTTTCATTAGGTTCTGGTGTCAGTATTCACTATCGAGTTTGGGGTCTAGATATTACAATGTGAAATATGGATGTGAAATGATAATGGTGAAATGAAATTGGTAGGTAATAGGAAGTGGCCAGAGTCTGGTGGGTAGCATGATTAGATTTGTAGTTGGTTGAGGTGACACAGAGATCAGCAGCATGTGTGTAACATCAAACTGAAATATCCAAAACCAGAGAGCTGGTACATGGTCATCACCAGTATGATGATTGTGAGGAAGTAGTAGTTGAGGACATAAGTGGGAGCTATGATAGTGATGGTGAATGCATGAAGGATTTATAAATGATGGCTGAGTGTTGAGACAGTCATGATATTGGGAATGTGTTGCAGAAGCCATGATCATAGTCTCTAAGATTACATATGCAAACAGCAGGCCAACAAACTGCTACTAGATTGAAATTTGGCTGACTATTAATCATTGTCTATATTCCACCAATGAAACAGTAAGATATATGTTACCTGTATTATATATAGTATATGATACATCTATTGATATTAATCACAACACCTCTATATTTCTTGCATTTGCATCACTTTGAAATATGCAGTGTACTCTTTTGGTGTCATTAAATCATAGTCCCCTTCAGTCACTTTTGAGAATGCAACTGGTTTACCATTGACTGCAAATTTAAGGATTAGAAAGGATCAGCTTATTTGAAATTGAGACAATATACTGTAAATGATGGGATCATTGTCTGTATCCATTAGTGTGAGATCAAGCCCAATCCCATTGTCTGAAACATCACCATTCATGATAAACAGCATTATTCACTCTTCTACTTTGGGAACCTTCATCTTCTCTCATTCTCTCAGAAGCAAGACTGTTTCTGATAATCATTCAATGAATTGAGGTATTCAATACTCAGCTTTTGATCTTTCTTCTTGTTGCCTCCAAAGTCATCAAAGTCTGGGCTGCTAGGTGCACTAAGACTCGATGGTGTAGCTTGCACAAATGTGGCAGCAGAGGCTGCTAGAGACATATAATACTACTCATAATCTAGAGAGAATATTAGCAGAAAACTGGCTGATAGGAAAAGACACTTACAATCTGCTTTGCAGTTGATGGTTGGCTTGACATCCTGCCTAACACTGATGGTCTCCTGTATATGATCTGAGTGTATTCCCACCACTCCAAGTCCTCACAAGATATCATTGTTTGAACTAGATGCCATATTCCCACTAGCAGCCTCTACTCTCATATTATCTTTTATGCTCAGTGTGGCAAGATCACTGGTAATAGTACTCTTCAAATGCCATGCCAGCAGTGCATTCTGTTGCCTCTTTGCTTTGGCTTCTTGCTACTCTGCTTATGGTCAGTGTTCTTATTGTCAATAACCTCTGCTTGGCAGATTTTGCAGACCATTATACCATGAGTAAAGTCCATGAGCTGATCAGTGTCCAATGCACTGTATGATTCTTTATATTAAGGGCAAATATACCTCTTGTTGCTGAGTTGCTGTGGGACAGTGAGTAGTGGCACAAAATTAGTTTGAAGAATGTATGTTACAGAGCTTGGAATCAATTTTATGATGCATCTTGGCAATTCTCTATTTTATTATGTTGCAGAAGTGCTCTTAATCAATATAATAGTACTACTTGCTGACTGCTCATTGAGTGCTTTCCCTCAGCTTGTTCTGCCTGTATCTAAATTGAACAATAATGAGACTTCTAACATAACATAAAGTGATTTGAACATACAATTTGACCAGTTTTCATTTGACAAGACAATGACAATCTTGTTCAGCTCCTTAGATTGTAACTCTAGCTGACTTGCTAAATCATCATTCCTGAGACTGCTCAGGAAGAATAGAGGTAAAAAAAACAGAACACAAGATATATGCATGTTTAGCATCTACAAAACTCATCTGCAGTGCCAATACTTACACTGGATGAATGAGTGGAATGAATGTCATAGTATAAAGGGAGACAAGGAAGAGACATGTCAGGGATTATTTACTGTTTTTGACTCCTCTGGCATAATTGGCTTGATATTTTCTGACATTGCTTGATGGCAAATGTATGGTGACTTGAATGATAACCACATGAGAGTAGTGCTAAAATCAAAGCTTAGAACAAGCTCCCCTCAGGATTGCAGAGCATGCTAGGCTAGTTATAAGCAGTAATATATAAGTAGAGGGTGAGTGAGAGGGTGATAAAAAAATAAAGATGAAACAAATAATATAACTGTTTTCTGGGTGAAATCATCTATTCTTGTGTTAAGATAGATGAATATATAAGTGAAGAGGTGAAACAAATGACTGATGAGAATAGCAATAAGCAAGCAAGTGAAGCTTGATTCACCTTGACTTGCTGGAACACAGTATGAGTGAGACAAATGCAGACAGGACAATATTCTTGGTCCTCTAATATGAAGCAGCACTTTAATGACCAAGCCTGATGATACTCAGCAAACTTAGTCTTGCTGATTGTAACATCCATCTGCTGTCAGATATTCTGACTCATCTTTATACAGATGCAGTGCAATCTATCATTCTCAAGTTAATTCTGAAGTCTGCTGCAAATTGCATGATAGCCATATATCCTATTAGAAGGTGAATATATTGCTTACTCAGGGCTTATTGAATGTCTCAATAGACTTTTATATTGTTTAGTATCATAGATAACATAGAGCCTGGACTCCTTCGTTTTGTCTCTTTTGATTCTTGTCCCTATATTCCTCCCAGTTGACAGACACATTTGCACTAACATCATTACTACAACTGTTTTTTGTGCTTCTCTTATCATAATATCTTATTTTTTCCCTCAGCTCTTTCAAAACCTTTCTTTATCCAGTCATTTTCAAAGCATCTCTCTATTAGTCTCTAAAATAACACAAATTTGGATCTTATCTGCAGAACTACACTTCTATGAACCAGCAGATATTCTTTCTATGATCATGAAGGGCTTAATATCATGGTCATTATGGTGAACAATATAAGAAACAGCTAATTTGAGTGCTGCAAGCCATGCCTGCAGATTGATTCATATTCTGTCTCCTTCAACTTATATCATGCATGCAAGATCAGCATGAATTGTTATGGAAATTCCTCCTCCTCAATACTTCAATGATTAAAATCATTAGCTCTCTATTGAATATGCCTTTTTCCCTCACAAATGCTCTCCTCCTTAACTACTCAGTTCATTGAACATACCAACTCATTTGCCATGCCCAACTCTCCAACAAATCTCCAAACATCACAAAACAAATTGTTGAAATCTGTTTGAAATACCTTAATATAATAATCCTGGCCTGCAAACTATGATGGATTGTGCAGGCTATTGACAGTGGCTTACTCACATGCATAATTGCAATCAATAAACCTTCCAAAACCATCAACCTTACTGTAGATATCACAATCATTAATCTTGTTTGGTGTATGATTCTACATACCATGCACAGAACTATAAAACATATCAAGCCTATATCACAGCCACTTGGCAGAAGCTGATGACAGTCATTTCTAATAGATAGAAATTTTGCAACTGTATCAGTGCAGGATTCAATCTCTGTAGAAACAAAAAAAAGATACTAGACTTGGATGCTCTCTCTCTTCATTGGATTGACTTCTATCTTTTGTGTCATTTATTTCCCAACAAACTGGCTAGGCTTCAGTGATGCACAGGATGTGACATTGCATTTTGCTCATTGTTGTGCCAAAAGAAAGCAGAGAAAGATCACATATGTGTCTGTAGAGATCAACAACAGAAAATGAAAGGTGTATAAGAAGCTACTCTCTGTCATTGATGCCACTCACATACCAATGTTGTCTCAGTTGGATATCCTCAGGATTTTATCCATTGAGACCACATTTATCTCCAAATGTTTATCAAAGACACCCTTATAAAGGAATAAGCTCTGATAGAAGGAAGAGTCTCTGAATGTTCCTAGGACAACTCCTTCTTGACAGTTCCTGTATATTTGGATTATGCCTCTTATCCTCTCACTATCTCTATCATACTCATTGAGAAATTCCAGATTGCAGTATGAAAGTAATATTGTCATAAAATATTGATACTGAATTTGTCTAATTCATTGGCAATGTTACTAAGTATAATGCTCTATAGGGTGTTTGAAAGGTTGTCAGATCTCATGAACCTTCTGCTAGGATCCTTTCATCATATCCAATGAATAAATCTAGTGTTGCACCATAGGCTCATTCTACAAAATTCTCTGATAATTGGTCTATAGTAGGCAGTAACTCTGAATGGACAATAGTAATTTTATTGAGAGGTTCAAGACTGTGAACTATTCTCAAGCTTTTTCTATCTTTCTTGAATACAGTGAATCATCGAGACTGATAGAAGGAGTTTAATAGCTCATATACTCCAACATCTAGCTTGGTTTTTATAATTCAACAGACTTTGCTATATATTCCTAGTGGTATAGGAATATTTCACAATATCCACAGCATATGTTCTATGACCAGTATGTCAATAGGAGGGAAAAAGTCTTGTCTAAAACTCCCTCTTTCTGAGTCTTTCCAAGCAAATGCCTATTGTTGTACTATCATAAAATAATGCATGAGTTTTTGCTCTTCAGGCTATAAGAAATCATCATTATGCATTGGGTCAATATATTCTTTTCTTTCTATAGTATACCTTGATGTGGGTATAGATTCAGATGGCTTGGTAGAAAGTTCAGAGAGATCTTTTAATGGATCTCCTTTGATATTATAAACTATTTTAAATTTGCTAGATAGTGTGGCCAGTACTAGCTTTGTTTTCAAGGCTACTGGTTTATACTTCTTGCTAGTATATATAGCTATATTTTTATCAAACCAGGTTTTATAGTTTGTATCACTGTCTATATTTGAGCCATATAGTTTATATATGTACTCAGGGAGTTGAGTAACAGAGTGGGATTGAGTTTTCATAGCTGGTTATTGCATATATATAGATATGTTTCTTTCTGAATTTTTAACATAGTGATGGTTCAAGAGGCTATTGTCTATTTCTTTACTATTTGAGACAAATAGAATATGCAGAGATAATAGAGTGGTGTTTTCTGTCTGACTCAATGACTAACACCACTTTGTCTTGATTCTATAACTGATCTTCTAGTAACAGATTATCTTCTTTCTCATAAGAATCATTAGATTGCAGTCTAATATATCCTCTGGGTCTAGTAGGAATAGTGGCTGTTTTTCTCATATTGAGATCATGTATCATAATAGTCTGATCCTGGTTTTCATAATTCCAAATGATACTTTGAGTAAGCATATCAAAGAGCCATCCAACTAGAATGTCATATACTGATTGCTGTATAACATATACTTGCAAGTACAAGATAATATTGCCAAATAAGAAGATGATGTTTCTTGCAAGCCCTAGTGAACTATTCAATGTTTCATTAGCTGACTGCATGTCTATTATCACAGTAGGGTCATATGATAACCCCAGGTTGTGACAGACTGCTTTAGACATTGAAATAACTTGTGAGCCTGAGTCAATAATATATTTGACTTTTAATTGATGGTCCACCACTGGCATTATTGGCCATAAGATGATAGATTTGACTGCACACTTAAGCAGGCCTATCTTTTCTTCTTTCTTTAAGCAGACCTCATAAAGATCTTGTACTACAAAGAATTCTGCAGGAGGTGTTTCATGAACTTTTTCTATGTGCTCTTGTTCAAAAGTTTGAACTACTAGGATAGGAGCTCCATAGAGTAGCATAGTTTTAATTTTGGAATTGTTTGAGAGCACATTAATCTCAATAGTGCCTGGTCCAGTGTACAAAACATCATTCTTAAAATGCTCAACAGTGGATGAGATTTTCTGCTTTATGATGTTGTCTTTTATCATATTACAGATTTTAGGTGATAGAAAAAATAATTCACATTGTGACAAGGTAAATATAGAATTCATTGTCCTTTTGTATTCATTTCAGGCTACTAAAGTATCTTCAATTGGTGCCTTTGTATAGTAGGCAGATTCTTGGTCCTGAACTTTCTTCCTGTGATCAGACTTAGTACCTATATTTTGATCAACAGGTGGCATGTAATTTGCTGGTCCAACTGAAGCAAATAAATGTATATCTTCAGGGATATTATCTTCTTGATCAAGGGTTATGGTTTCTATGACTGGTGATTCAGCTGCAGTAGGTAACTGTTTCCACAAATTTTTAGTTCACATACTTTTCTCAATTGAGAG